GAGGGTCGTTGGGGAGGGACCCTTGGCGAGGGGCGCACGGGGAGGGGCCCTTTGGAGAAAGGTTGCTTGGTGGGGGGGGTGTCCTTTGGGGAGGGGTGGTTTGGAAAGGGGGCTCTCTGCAGAGGAGACTATGGCAGGGAGCCTTTGGGGAGGGGGGCACCCCTTAAAAATGGGAGTACGGGACGACCGATCTTGGGGTGCATTTATTGGATAATATTTGGATCAAGGACATCATTATTATGACTGTGTGATTATTTAGGGGTTGTTTTTTTAAATGATAACCTCGCAATCCGTCCAAATGAAATTGACGGCTGGATAAATTCCATAGAACAGCAGGGATAATAAACTCTCCTTTTTTCCCCTTCTCTTCCTTCTCCAGCACAGGATGAAGGCACGCTGACATGGCTTTCAAATGCAGAGCACAAACGTTGCAGGTGGTTGATACCGAATATAGTGCGGACACGGTCGAATGGTGCCCGGTAGAAAGCTGGCACAACATCCTGGCATGTGGCACCTACCAGTTGAAGAAACCGGAGAGTGAGGTGAGCTGTAGACTTTTTCGAGAAGCCAGAGAAAACTCGTGAAATTGTTTTGCGGTTAGAGTCTTAATAAATGGGGGATATTTGTAGCTCAGGGTTGAAATGACAGGGAGCCTTGGTACTCTCTGGGCTTCGTTGTTGTCTTGTGGACATTTAATGACCCAACTAGGTAACCTCATCAGTGTTTGAGTGTGTGGTATTTGGGGTTTGGACTGCATTTCTTCCCTTTGTAGATGGTTTTTGGAAGAGTTTGATCTCCCGCTGAGGATAATTGGACATTGGGGGCCAAGTTGGAGGAATTAAAGGGAATTTATCTACTTTGGTGACTTTGTTATTTTTGTGCCATGCCCTGGGTCATCACACCCCGCTTATCTGGATAATGGATACTGGTTGCAGAAGCCACCTCCTGACCATAAACAGGGAGCAAACCTTACACTCCTTCACACTGATGAAGTGACCTCAATAGGCAGTGAAATGTCTGGAAGAAAACCCATGCTCACAGAGCACCAAGGACCCCACTGTTCAACTCTATGCCACAAATATTATCTTCTATTGGAACAGGCTAGATTCTTCAGAGAGTAGCTCTGATTTTCACCAAGATAACTAGTCGTCTGTATATACAATGGGTTGGTTGAGTTTGGGCCTTTTTCTTCTTCTTCTACTTCCTAAACAGCCTGGCCAAAGTTGTAGCAAGGACAGCGAATCCCCTGTGCGCCTAGGACGTCTCTACCTCTATTCCTTTGAAGATCAAATGTTCACACCGCTGACGGAGATCCAAAGGCTGGAAACGGGGGCTATATTGGACCTTAAATGGTTGGATGGACGCTTCTCCGTTTCGTTTGCATGTTTTTACTCCTCCGAGAAATTAGATTAGCCGAGGAAGGGTCATTTCCTTTGCAGGAAAGATTTGCCCATAGGGGAGAAAGTTGGGGCTTTCAGGTAGAGGGGGTGTCAGGCGTGAGTTGAAGGCCTCCACCTCCGTGGTGGACTTCACAGGGTGACCATCAAGGCTATGATGCCCTCTATCCAGCACGGTCCACATCTTTCATGATTGGGAGGGGTTTGGGTGCCTTCGGCATAAGAGCCAAGTGGTTAAGGCATCAGGCTAGAAAGCAGAAGACTGGGAATTCTAGTCCTGCTTAAATATGAAAGCCAACTGGGTGTCATTGGGCCAATCACCAGGGGGCAGTGAGTTCTAGACCCATCGTAGGCTTGAAAGCCAGCTAGGTGACTCTGAGCCAACCACCAGGAGATTTGTGAGTTCTAGTTCTGCTTTGCTATCTCTTCTATTTCCAGGTGCCATGTTCCCATCGCAGGGCGGCCTGTTTTAGGCATCGCCAATGCCCAGGGAGCTGTGAAGCTGGCCCACTTGATGGGGAGCGAGGTAGGTGTTCTTCCCACGCTCATTAAGCCGACTCCTCGTCCCGATAAAACCCCTTTTATTTAGGTGGAAGGGAATTCCTCTCCAGCAAAGTCCCGGCCGACAGTCTTTCATGAGATTTCACAACCACAGACCTTTATCAGGCTTGGAGAGTTGCCAGGCTGATAGCTTCCAAACGCCACACCGTAGCAGCAATTACTCGGCAAGAAGTCAGAGACAGATCTTCACCCTAATTAAACGAATTAATTGTCCCCTGCAAACCCCACTCCCTTTTCCCTCCTCTTTATTCCCTCTGGGAGGGGCCATTCACCGTCCACCTGTGCCCTTCCTCCCCAGTTGTCCTTTGTTCCTTAATTGTTCCCTTCTCCTGGCAGCCACTTGAAACGGGACATCCGTGTTTTCTTGACCCAAGAAACTTAGCATCTACGCATTAGATCTTGCTAGGTTTCATAACTGGTGCCTGAGACCAGTTTCCACGTTGAACGTTCTGACCAGTCTCCTTTTCTTTCCAGTAGAAGAGTTGCAGGCTTCATCCTCTCTGCAGTGTTGACCTGGGAGATGATTGCCTTGCTTTGTCGCTGGACTGGTCCACAGGGCGAGAGCAGTGGTAAGTGGTTGGAGGGCCTAGCACGGGCTTGCCCAACCTTGGCAAATTTGAGATGAGTTGACGGGGCGATGAATCAGTGGAACAACTTGCTTCTTGAATTGGTAGATGCTCCATCACTGGAGGTTTTCAAGAAGAGATCGGGCAACCGTATGTCCTGAATAGAACAAGGACCCTTGTCTTAGGCAGAAGGGTTGGACTAGGAAGGCCTCCAGGGTCTCCCACAGCCCTGTGATTCTAAGATGCCTGGACTTCATCGCCCAGCATTGCCCAGCCAGCCTACCTATGCAGGTAACAGGCTCTGGCAAATAGGCCCTTCTGTTCTGACCAAGGCTTCGGAGACTAATTACGCACACGCTTATTTTAAAAACAAATCTTGTTTTATTGCAACGCTGGGAATTGTTTTCATTCCTGGCCGTAATGAATTCTCAAACAGTCCCTTGAGATAAGCACCCACCTTTCTTTCCTGTGAAATGCTGCCAATAACAGAAGCGTCAAATGAACCAGAAAAAAAAAAAAAACAAAGTACAAAGAGCTTCAAGAATGAATCTGAACTGAAGGAACAACCTTGCTTCCTGCAAAGGTTTTGTCCTCTTGGCCTGTCCTTTATCCCTTATGGGAGGAGCAACCACCTCCCAGCCTTACTTCTGAGTCGCCCCTTTTGTCTCAGCTGCTCTCGCCTTCTAGCAGCTCTGTGCACACACGCACTGGGAACAGGCTCCCTCTGTTCCTCTGCCTCGCTGCTGCCAGGCTCCGGAGGCAGCACCCCACTCCCAGATGGTCCTGGCCCCATCTCTACTTCGGACGCAGGACCCTCATCCGAGTCCTCCCCAGATTCCTGGACTGGTCCCCGTTCTTCCCCACTGTCCGATTCCGTTGCTGTCTGCACAGACTGCCAGCGAACCACAACACCTTCCATCCCTCTTCAGTTTCTGAGAAGACTTCTGGTGTTCATTCCTGTCCAACATGGACCTTCTGATGTTCTCCGTCCCTTAACAAGCATCGCAGCACAACTCACGCTGAGTTTTAAACTTTGCATCCTGGCTTCCGTTCAGTGCTGTATGGTAGTAGACACGGCAGGTGGTTCAGCACTTGTTTTTAAAAGGTTTTTAAAAGTTGCCCTTTTGAAACAAAAAACAAAAACTATTTCACACCATTTCTGCAGCGGTCACCCCCTGCGACTGGTCAGCAGCGATTCCAAAGGGAGGGTCAGCTTGCTGTCAGTGGACGAATCCGGTACCTCGGTGCACGTTTTGGACCAGTGGAAAGGACACGACTTTGAAGCCTGGGTGGCTGCGTTCGACTACTGGAACACTCGTGTTGTGTACTCAGGTGCGCATTTGCTCGGATGGTAGTTTGCAAGAGTCTCCGGGAGGCCAGGAATAGGTTGAATGCGAACCAGGGTTGGCCAAACGCTGTGGCAATGTGTGAATCCAACCAGGGTCAAGATTGGCTTTGAAGCTTTGAAATAATAATCTGCTTTTGTCGTTCTAAAGACCATAGAAACATATCAGCCACTCCTTTTCTTGGTCTTCCCTTCCTGGATCTAGGTGGAGACGATTGTAAACTACAGGGCTGGGATACTCGGAGCAGCTCAAGAGCTCCTCTCTTCACCAGTGAGCGGTAAGTCGTACAATCTAACTAAACTCTTTCAACTCCTTCCCTCAAAACGACACTATGCAGAACACTGCACACCAGAACAACTAGACACAAGGACAGTTTTTTCCCTAACGCCATCACTCTGCTAAACAAATAATCCCCTCAACGCTGTTCAACTATTACAAAGTCTGCATTACTATCACTTTTAATCCTCCCATCCTTCCTTTCACCCATCTCCTCCCACCTATGACTGTATGAACTGTAACTCTGACGCTTGTATCCTTACGATTTATATTGACTGTTTCCTAGTATGATTCGATTGCTTATTGGTACCCTATGACTATCATTAAGTGTTGTACCCGATGATTCCTGACTCTTGACAAATGTATCTTTTCTTTTATGGACACTGAGAGCATTTGCACCAAGACAAATTCCTCGTGTGTCCAATCACACTTGGCCAATCAAGAATTCATTCCTTCATCTCTGAAAAGAATCCATGGCTCCCATCTTGTGACAGGAAAGCTGTGGGGGTGGGTAGGTGGGTTGAACAGCCTTCTTTTGATGTGGCTTTCATTTCAGGCATTCTATGGGGGTCTGCAGTATTCAGAGTCACCCGTTGCGGGAAAATCTGCTAGCTACGGGAAGGTGAGTCTCCAAAGGATATGAAGTCAACTTTTAGGAGCATCTTGTAAATTTCACACGGTCGTACAGGCTGTCCTCGACTTACAACAGTTCGTCCAGTGGCCTTTCAAAGTTACAATGGCACTAAAAAAAAAAAAAAGTCTTCACAGTTACAATCCGTTGCAACATCCCCATGGTCACACAGTCAAAATCCGGATTGTTGTGTCTAATCTTCCCTACTCCCAAATTCCCAGGGACGGAATGTGGCAGCCTAGAAGCTCCAAAAGAAAAATGGCTTCCCAGGCTGACAGGAGGAGAAAAAGTTCTCGACTTGTGTTTCTGCAGCTACGACGAACACGTCCTTCTCTGGGACACCCGAAAGATGAAGCAGCCCCTGGCGGACACCCACGTGCAAGGCGGCGTCTGGCGCTTAAAATGGCACCCGTCTCAGGAGCAGTTGCTGCTTGCGGCCTGTATGCACAATGGCTTTGCAATCCTCCACTGTCCCAAGGACTTAGGTGAGTGTTTTGATTGGAGGAAGCCACCCACGTCACTGCTGACTTCGGCTGTAGTAGTTTCCAGATGCGCCTTGGCATAGGACCGCAACCGAGCGCAACATTTCTGCGGCTAAGTGGATCATTGACTGAGTTGGCCCTCATTTTACACTTTAGACATGAAAGATGGCTGGGTGACTTTGGGCCAATCGCTAGGAGAATGTGAGTTCTTGTCCTGCCTTAGGCATGAAAGCTGGCTGGGTGATTTTGGGCCAGTCCCTCCTTTCTCACCCCAACACATCTCACAGAAGCATTCTTAGGGAAAGAGGAGGAAAGTGTGTTGGTTACGTTTGCTGCCTTGCGTTGTTTGTAAAACGTTAATAAAGATGGGATACCAAAAAATAAAACATAACTTTCCCTCGCCTCATTGCCTGAATAAAGAATGTAATTATGTCCAGGTCCAACAGCCCTTCTCTTTTCTGTTCCTGCTCTTAGAAGAGAACTGCACGATCCTGTCATCTTACACCTTGCACAATTCTTTGGCTTATGGAGCCGATTGGTCCAGGCTTCCCCTGAGCGACTCTTTGGAGGCGTCTATGGCTATGGTGACCATTCAGGAGGACCAAAGAGCCAGCCGAGGGGACCTCAAAGGGCAGAACCTCAAGATCATTTACGAATCCCCCACGGCCACCTTCGATGTGCTGCTCGAGGAGGAAGATGATCAACCTCCCGTGTCTCCATCGCCAGCAGAAGGTACCTTAGCCCCACAGGAGCCCTCAGGTGATGGAAGAACTCCGGATACCAAAGCAAACGGGGATGTCCAAGCAGCCAGTGGCCAAAGGGAGACCAGCCTCTTAGCGACATGCTCCTTTTATGACAACATTCTACACGTTTGGAAATGGGAGGTCAGCCAGAGTGTCCCTCTGGCTTAAACCCACTGTTGGGGTGTGGAAGGAGGCCTCCAGTATATTCTGCCCTTTTTCTTTCTATCCATGGGGGTGTGTGGGGTGTGTGGGCAGGAAGCATGCTGGAAACGACTTTGGATAGGAGAAGCTCAAGAGTTGAACTGCGAGACTCTTGGGAGGCTCTCTGACCTTTTGTCGTTTACTTGCAGACATTTCATTACCAAACTAGGCAACATCATCGGAGCTAGAAGGGAGTGCAGACTGCTGTGTAGAGGACTGTAGAATTCCTTGGTACTCTGAGCCACGTTTTCTTGCAGATGTTTCGTGACTCTGACTAGGTAACATCACCAATGCTAAGGGTGGTGTTTGCTTCAGTTTACCTACAGTAGCTTCTCCTTTCGGTCTCAGTGGAGGTGTGGGTTTTCTCCTTGGAAGTTGTTGAGTAGGGTATCCTTGTCCGTCTGCTGTTAATTCCTGCTTATTTAGATATTGGATGCCGGGTGCTACTGTAGTTGCAAGGTAAGCTACTGAATATAAACAGGGAGCTCGTTTGGTACTTCATTACCTAGTTTGGTCATGAAACATCTGCCAAGAAAACCGTCAAGCTCAAAAGAGCACCAAGGACCCCGCAGTTCAATTCCAAGCTATCGACATTCTCTTCTATCAATATGTTTTTATATTACTGCTGGGAGCCTCCAGTAGCTGTGAGATTTGAAGGCTCTTGTGTTGCTTACTTGGTTCTTTCCAACAGCTTTGTTTTTTATACTGCAGAAATAAGATTGTTCCGGTTCCATAATTTCCTGTCAATTCCACTTTTCCTCTAAGATTTTATTCTTGCAACATTCTCAAACACCAGCTTTAACATGGGAGCGCCATTTGGCTCACATTTCCTCCCCAAATATATAGGGAACCTGAAGTTCTATTCAAGCTTGGGAAAGAGGCCGAAATTAAAAACGGCAACCAATGATCGTTGCAAAGATATTCTCTTGAAATCCAAGCACAAGCTCTTTTGTGGTGTAGATTGGCCTCACGAAAGGGCGTATTTATAATCTGAGGTATTACAGATTGTGGCATTTTCATACAAACATGCTCATTGGCATTGTAAAGAGCACCTTTCAGCTAAAATATATTTTTGATCTTTTTTACAATAAAATCTTGTCTTGTAAGATCCACTGTCCTTTTCATTTAAGTTATTAAGACAAGTATCAAGGATCACAAGGATCAAAGCCTGTGTCAAAAAGTACTTTGGACTGGGCCAAATTTGTCTGCGTAGAGAACGGCTGTTTTATATAGAAAGGAACGTACTCCGTCATGCTTAAGTCTGTTTCAAAAGCAAGATGTATTTTGCTCAGAGAAGGAAGTAATACAGTAGCCATACAGTCAACAGGTAAGAATATCTTACAGGTGGACTAAGTATTATAAAACTGGAGGCAAATATTGGCAAGAATAATTTCCAATAAGTACTTCTAGAATTGCGACTGCTAGTGTGTGTCTGCGCAAGGGTTTGCTAGTTTAAACAACATAACCAGCTGAAGAAATCATAGCTAAGAAACAGGTTTAAAAATGGTGGTTCACTCCCTGAACATACGAGAGCTCTAATAAATGTATGCTATTTTCTTTTCTGTGTGTGTGTGAAAAGGATTTCATTTTCAATTTAAATCTAAGCAGCACAGAAAACAGCAGCCCTTCATCCCCACCAAATTCAGTGCCCACATGCCATTAAAACCCCACCGCCAGAATCCTCATCCTTGCAAGCCCTTCCCAGGCGGTTTTCTCCCCAGAGAAACACATATATTGAAGACTTTTTTGGACACAACTTTCAAAGCAGAAACATCAACACTTCTCAACCAGGGAGGTGTCACATTCTCTTTATTCGTAACCCTCTACCCCAAATTATCTGGTCCAAAAGCCCCCTTCTGAGAAACTATCTTTTCTTTTGAGATATTGTGTCTTTTCTCCTCTTCCAAGAAATAGTCTTTCCCCCCTTTTCTTCGCGGAAATGGTGTCTTTTCTCTCTTCTTCCAGGAAATCGTTTTTTTCCCCCTTTTTCCAAGAAATTGTCCTTTTTTCTCCCTTTTTCCAGGAAATTATCTTTTTTCCTCTGCTTTCGATCCTGTATTTAAAAGGGCTTCAATAAAGTTGCAGTCCTGGGGGGACAATTTGTCTCCACTTTTTTTTTGGGGGGGGGGGGGGTCTCTTTTCTTTTCCTTCCTTTTTCTTTCCTTCCTTTCTTCCACCCGCTAGCGCACGAAGTTTTTGGGGAAGAGCCTGAAAAGCTTCCCCTCCTGGCTGCTCTCGAAGCCGTACTTCTCCAGGGCGTCGGGGTCGAAGACGCCTTCCTTGACGTCCTTCTCGATGAGAGGCGCGGCGGTCCGCTGGAAGAGAGCGCGGGCGGTCAGGGGCGGCTCGCTGCCGGCGGGCGCCCGGTAGGAGACGTACGCCTTCAACCTGAAGCCCCTCAGGTCCGGCACCATCAGCACCGGCACCTGGTCCTTCACCAGGAGGAACTTGCGGCTCGACGTGATGCAGCCGAAGACTTTGCAGCCGCGGCTCTTGAAGAAGGTCCGCGGGCCCCGCTTGCTCGTCCAGGCCGACATTCGGTCAGCGCCGCGGAACAGGCCCCGCGTCACCTCGCCCAGGAGACCCATGGCGAACTAGGACGGGCGCTCGGGCTCCCACCGCTGCAACATCGCCGCTTCCGATTAGATCGTCCACCTCTGCAACATCGCCGCTGGCTATTGGACCGTCTAGGCGCTCTACCAATTCGCCTCGGCCGTGCTCACGTCCCCGTCGGATAGGGAGACATTTTAACCAATCGGATGCAAGGAGACGGGATTGGGCCAGTGGCCACGCCCACTGGGGGGGAATGTGTCTCCTGATTGGAGTTTGACTCGGGATTCCTCCTGCTCGGCGGGAGGGGGGGAGGAGGAGCCCGTGACTGTAGAACTACGAAAAAGTGAAGAGAGACGCAGCTGCTGAGAAAGGAGATTTTATTTGTGAATTTATAATCCGACTTTTTATTATCAATTATATTTCTATTCCTCCTTTATTGTTTCTTATAGCCCCTTCATAGTCCTCAGCCACCTTCATATGGTGCCCTCCAGAGGGACTTCAACAACCGGGCTGCTTCTGGGTGGGACAATCCTAATCGTACTTAAAATATTCCACAGTGGGTGGGGCAGCACAACAACCCTGCGAGGTCGACCAGCTTTGGAAACTGAAAATTTCAACACTGGACGTTTTCAAGAAGAAATTGGACAACCATTGGTCCCCAATGGCACCGAGTTTCCTGCCTGAGCAGGGGGTTGGACTAGAAGACCTCCAAGGTCCCTTCCAACTCTGTTAAGCTATTTCTATTATTATTATTATTTCTATTTTCTTTATTACATATTGTATTCTCATGTATTTATTGTATTCTGTTATGTATTTTGTATTCTATGTATTCTATTCTCTTATGTATAATTATTCTATTCTATATTATGGATCGTATTGTATTGTGTTATGTATTTTGTACTCTTATATATTGTATTCTATTCTCTTATGTATTGTATTCTATACTCTTATGTCCTATATTGTATTCTATTATGTATTGGGTTGTACTATTGTATTGTATTGTATTCTCTTCTCTTTTATTCTATTCTTTTGTCTTCTATTCTATTCTATTATATATTGGGTTGCATTCTATTGTCATGTGTTGTATTCTATTATCTTTTGTATTGTATTCTATTATGTATTGTATTGTATTCTAATATGTATTGGGTTGCTTTCTATTGTTATGTGTTGTGTTGTATTCTCTTTTGTGTTTTATTGTTTTATGTATTGGGTTGCATTTTATTGTTACGTGCTGTATTCTATTGTGTTGCCTTATGCACTGGATTGGACAGTGATTGTATTCTACTCTCTCCTACATTGTACTGTTTGAGTGTTGTACGCTCCGCTCTCTTCTTCCAGAGTTTGGGAAGGTGGCTGGAGGAGTCTTGGAGTGACCTCCCGGCCCTCCACTTTCTGCCGTGTCCCCCGAGAGCCTCCTCCAGGGCGGGATTCGCCTTCCTCTGCCATTCCGTTTCTCCTCCGGGCTTGGACTACCGCACCCATCCCGGCCGGGGAGGATGGGAGTGGCGCAGCCACACCTGGCTAAAACCTGGCTCCTTCCTCCCCCCCCCCCGCGGGCATCCGTAACGGCCGGAAGTGACGCTATTGGGCGGGGTGGGGTGGGGTGGGAAGTCCTCGCCCCGCCCTCCCGCCCGCCCCCAAGAATGACCCCTGACCTCTGGCGGCGCCCTCCGCCGGGCAGCCGTTAGAAGCGCCGCTGCGGCCGCCGCCGCTGCCCCCCCCTCCCTCCGTCCCGGCCATGGAGGCCACGGCAGCCTCGCCCTCCGAGCCCCAGGTAGGGTCGCCTCTCCCCCACAAGCCCTGGGACGCCTGGACTACAACTCCCAGCACCCCCAGCCGGGGGGGGGGGAGAGAGAGGGGGGGTATAATGGGGTCCACCAGGAAGGCTGGGTTGAGGGGGGGGGGAGTTCTTCCAAAGGGCTGGGACTACAACTCCCAGCGTCCCCAGCCCTGAGGTGGAGGGTCTTTGTGCTCAGAATGGGAGATAGGGTCCCCCTGCCTGAGCAGGGGGGCGGGGTTGGACTAGAAGACCTCTATAGGGTCCCTGCTTTCGTCGGACTTTTGTTCTTCTGTCGTTCCAGTCTTGTTGGGGGGAAACGCCAGACAGTTTGGGCCAGGGGGAAAATTGGGGTAAAAACCATCCATCCCAATTCCGGCCAACATGGTTTAATGTCGGGGTACCCTCTTCACACGTTTCCATCCTGGTTATCTCCCTCGGATTATGAATGGTTTCAGATGTGCCCTTGCTCTTTTGAAGTTTGGAAGTTGTGGGTGGTGGGAAATGGGGGGAAAAAAACACCCAATGGGACTACAACGCCCAGCATCCTCAGCTGGGCTGCAGACTGGGTGCGCAGCAGGTTCCTCCCAACAGAGAAGACTCGGTTGGGGAGGGGGAGCGCTTCCAAAAGTTATAGGGCAACTACAACTCCCAACGTTCCCAGCTCTGGGCTGGAGAGGAGTGGGCTGGACTAGAAGACCTCCGGGGTCCCTTCCAACTCTCCTCTTCCGTATTTTGTAATTTCAGTCTTGTTGGACGTGCCAGGCAGGGTGAGAAAGGGGCAACTGGGATTAAATCAATCCATCCCGGTTCCAGCAAACAGGGTTTAATGCCAGAGTCACCCTTCACACGTTTCTATCCTGGTTATAACTCTCGGATTATGAATGATTTTATATTTGGTGGGTTTTTTTTTACCCCAACCTGTATTTTCATGGCTGTATTGGTCTTTTAAAAGTGACCTTTTTTGTTGTTGTTGTTGTTGAAGTTGTGTGGTCTGGAACTGTAAATAAAATGGGGGGGAAACGATGGAACTACAACTCCTAAGATTCCCAGCCGGAGTGGCGTCCAGTCAGTTTCAGTCATGTTGGTTATGCGCTGTTGAACCATTCAATCCTGGTTCCAACAAACATGGTTAATGTCAGAGTCTCCCTTCGCACATTCCCATCCTCCCCATTTTAACTTGCATTTGACTGCATTTATTTGTCACGGAGGGAAAAATAATATCGGTTAGTGCTTGACTTACGACCACAATTGGAGCCCCAAAATTATGCCGCTAAGTCAGAAATTTGTTCTGCCCCATTTTACGATTTTTCTTGCCACATTTGTGAAGCGGCCATCATAAATATGAACCAGTTGCCAAGCATCTTAGTTGCAGGGACCCCACAACAGTCGTTAAGTGTGAAAAATGGTCGTAAGTCACTGTAACGTCGACAGGCCACTAAACAAGCTGTTGTAAGTCGAGGACTAACTGTACAACTCCGTCCTTATTTGTACGAAAAGCATTCCCGTTTCTTCCACTGGTGGGTCAATTATTACGCACACACCCGCAAGCAAATACTTTTCCTTCTGTTTTGCCAATTTATTATGTCTTTTGTTTCCACATGGAATAAATATGTACTGTATTTCAGACAGAAACCTTGTGTCTAACCATTCTGGCTTGCATATTTGCTCAGATTCTAACTTGTATCTTTTAGGGGGTGGAAAACAAGAACAAAAAAGCATTTTCGTTACAATATTCTTTGGTGGATACTTCCTTGCTGTTCTTTATTCCCCGGCTGAACTTCCAAAAGTAACTTGTATGCTTTTAAATTTATTTCCATTAATTCAAAGCCCACTTTTGCCTGCGAATTCTTTGGCTCTGCCGGCTAGCTTCTCTCCTGCTCCACATTTCAGCCTAAATAGGATATAATGGCTATTATTTGCATCCCTCTCCCCTGTTGGGACCCTGGTTCCGTTAACCCTGGCTCTACAGACAGCCGACACTTCATTTATGGACTGCTCAAAGTTACAACGGCATTGAAAAACGTGACAGGGTCGTTTTTCACACTTAACGACCGTTGCGGCATTCCCCGTGGTCATATGATCTAAAATTCAGATGCTTGGCAACTGACTCACGTTTATGACAGTTGCGGTGTTCCCTGATCTGTTTTGGGGGACCTTTTGATAAGCAAAAAAGTCAAGAGGGAAGCCTGATTCACTTAACAACTTTGGTGAGAAAGGCCGTAAAATGGGGGTAAAACTCAAGCAGAAATGCTGGGCACAATTGTGGTCATACTTTATTTTATTTTCTCCTTCTGTTATCTGTCTTCTGGCGGTTTGATTTAGCGTGGAAGCTCTTTCTGGCCGACGCCCTTGTTTGAATTGTGAAAGTCTTATTCAACCCTGAAATGATAACAGTTTAAATTGAATCATGCCTCAGAACTATGATTCCGTGTGTGTGTGAGTGTGAGAGAGACAATAAACCTGAAATGTGTGTCAGTGTGTGTGTGTGCTTCCTGAGTTTCTCTTTGGAGAGAGTAATGCGCTTGTCTTGTGTATCAGTTTGTAAACAGAAAGAAAGCTTTGTTTGACCGATTTTGCCCTTGTTCAACCACTTGGACCTTAAAAACAGAACCTTCGTTGCATTATTTTTCTTTTGTTCGCCACCATTAGATGGCATTGCTTGTCCAGTCAGCTCTTTGTCCTCCTACACAACCCTTGAAAGTTAAGGGTGTGTGTTTGTCTTGCTAAGTTGCTGCCAAACCCTTGGGTGGTTCTGAAATGAGGGTGATGTTTTTTGGGATCTTTCAAATAAAGGAACTAGAGTTTTTCAGGATGCCAAGTTGGGTATTTTTGAAGACTGATTTCCCCTCTTGCTTCTGCGTAGGGCAGTCTTGGCACAGATCCATTGTCACCCAGGTACAATTTATCCGAAACGGTCCAAATTCCACTTGGAGGAAATAAACGAAAATAAAAAGAAATAAAACCCCGATGATTTATAAAGAGAAACTGCTCTTTTGGAAGTTTGGGAGATTTTTTTATTTTGGTGTGAAGATGAAACCCTCAGCAGAGAGTTTGAAGCAGAGATTAAAATAATTGACTGGAAAAACAGCTCTCAGAAATGCGCTTTAGAAGAATCGTTCGTTTGTTTTCATTTTTGAGCTTAAGTCAGTTTTCAAACGTGCTAAGTCTTCTCTAAAGCCTCTGGGGAGAAAACGTTGGTTCCCTTTCAACCTAGTTTATACCTTTGGTGTTTTTATCCTTTAGGACAGCTTCTTAACAAGCGCCGACCTACGAACCCGAGTCCTTCAGTTTGTAGAAGAGAGGATTCAGACAACTATGGTAACGTTTTGGGAACATTTAGACAGAAGCGTTTTCATTTCACATGCCTCTTCCACCTGGTTTTATATCACACCCAACTTCCCTGTCCGTGTTTCCTTCCCTTCTAACCAAAATTAGAAGATTATCATGGCTGTTATAGATGTTAAAGTGATGATGTTTGGTTAGTCACGTCCTAATTAGACCTGAAAATTGCAGTTTATTAATGTGGCCCAGGAATCTGCCCATTCTGGTGAGTCCTGACTAGTCACCAAGTCCCCAAGATTTGCCCCATCTGTAAAAGAATATGGTGGCCTCCAAAACAGCATGAGATCACATATAAATGTGATTTACGAACGCATGGATGTGAAGAGCGATTAGGCAGTGTGAATATTTCAGTTTAAATCTATTTGACTCAATGCATATCAAGAGGATATCGCGGCCTCCCTTCCAACTCTGTTAATCTGTGAGAGCGCCAAAGACCTCCATGTTTCCCTATGGTTGAAGGTGAACGTTTTCTCTCTCACTTCTGCCCGCAGTTAACCGGGATAGCCATTGGCGCAGCGGTGGCCTTGGCTCTGATTGGGATCGTTGTGTATTTTGTGTACAAGAAGGTGAAGGAATCGAGTAAGTCTGATCGCTTAGCACCAACCCGCCGTGTCTGGATCACGGAGGTGAACGGAAAGGGTTTTCTTCCTGCACGGTGGAGCCGCTGGGAGGTTGAAGAGATGGTTGCGCGAGATTTCCCAGCCTGTTGGAAATAATAAATGGGTCTCCACGAATCGAGAGCCAGTTTGGTTTGGTGGTTAAAGATACCAGGGTAGAAAGTAGGAGGTGGTGAGTTCTAGTCCCGCCTTAGGCATGAAAGACAGCTGGGTGACCCCTGACAAAGTGACTGTGGGGAAAATAGAAGGAGGGAAGTGTGTTGTATATGCTTGCCACCTTAAGTCATTTGTGAAAAATAATAAAGGCAAGATACAAACAAACAAATAAAATTGACCTAAATGAGAAGCCTAGGTAAAATAAATTAACCTACGCTTCTCTTTCGGTACCTTTGATACTATTGCCAGTTAGACTGTTTGTAGACTTTGGGAAAGTGGACCTCAAGATGATGAATCTTCCTTTGCTTTTCAGAACAATCTCAGGCACACGTGCCCCAGTACAGGTTTCGCAAGAGAGACAAAGTGATGTTCTACGGCCGTAAGATCATGCGGAAGGTAAGGGGTCCCGGAGCTGAGTGAAGGCCAGCGATGAGCTCAGTCTGAGTTCAGACATGATCATCGGTGGTTGGATCCGTGATTGCTCTAAAACTCCCCTGGGCTTCAGAGACAAGAGAATGTGTATAACTCAGACTTAATCTGTGGGGTGCAAATTTAAACTGTTCTCTGAGCTTGGTGGTTTTCTTGCAGACGTTTCTTTACCTTACTAGGTGGCATCATCAGTGCCAGAAGGGAGTGGGGTGTGAGGAGGAGGAGGAGAAGGAGGATTAGGACTATGTGGTCCCTGGTGTTCTTTTGAGCTGGGTTGTTTTCTTGCAGACGTCTCATTATCAAACTAGGTAATGACATCAGTGCTGGAAGGAAATAGAGTTTCCTGTCCTTTTATACCCTCGTCTTCTGGGCTTGGTGATGGGATGAGCCATGTCAGTAAGTCCTATAACCTGTCAGAACTGGTGTAGCATTGAGCGCACAAGGGCCAGGATGACTCGTTCAACTAATGGTAGCCCAACCCTTACCTTGGCTAGAGTTCAGCCTTTCTTCTTAGTTTATCCTGGAGGTAACATGTGAGAAAATGGGGGCGTAGGCGTCCTCTCGGTGACTAATCAGCCTTTCTACTCTCTGCTGGGTCTATTAATAGCTTTGCAAGGAACGGATGGGCCTAGAGGGTGTTTTTCTCAAAATCCTTCCAAAGGAAAAAAAAACACACAACAACAATCAGGTTTTTGGCCCGTTCAGGATTTCAGCTCTTTTGGGAAAAGCTGCGGAGGCTCTAGAAAAAGGGCAGAGAAGAGTAACAAAGAGGATTAGGGGACTGGAGGTTAAAACATGCAACGAACGGTTGCCGGAACTGGGCCTGGCCAATCTAGAGAAGAGAAGGACCAGGAGAGACAGGATAGCAGTGTTCCAATATTTGAAGGGCTGCCACAGCGAGGAGGAGGAGGTCAAGTTGTTTTCCAAAGGAAAGAAAGAAAGAAAAGAAAAGAAAAGAAAGAAAGAAAGAAAGAAGGAAGACAAGAGAGGGAAAGAAAGACAAGAGAGGGAAAGAAAGATGAGAAAGAGAAAGAAAGAAGGAAGGAAAGAAAAGAAAGAGAAAGAAAGAAAGAAAGACAGACAGACAACAGAGGGAAAGAAAGATAAGAGAGGAAGAAAAGGGAGATAGAGAGAAAGAGAGAGAGAAAGGAAGGAAGGAAGGAACTAGCCCAAGGGAAGGTTTCTTCAGAAGCTCCTAAACCTCCCTTGCTTTAATTAACTGATTAATTAACTCCCTCTCCCTTAATTGGTTCATGTGGACTAAGGATGATATTATGCTGCAATAAAGAAATGCAATCCAATTATGGAATTCATGTCGCGTGGCTGTACCCTTAATTCGTTAGCCGATATCCACCAACGTCTTAGCCAATATAGAAGCTCTTCCTTTCTTCAATTATTTTCTTCCTCTTCCTCTTTCCTCTATTCCCCACTTAAAAGGGAACTTGGGAAATAGGTGCAAAACTTGGCAGATAAAAAAGAAAAAGAATGAAAAAGAGAAAGAAAAAAAGAAAGATAGAAAGAAAGCAAAGGAAAGGAAAGGGAAAGAGATGCAGAGAGGAAGACAGAGAAAGGAAGAAGGAAGGAGAGAAGAGAGAAAGAAAAAAGAAAGACAGAGAAAGGAAGAAGGAAGGAAGAGAGAGAGAAAGAAGAAAGAAAGAAAAAAGGAAAGAAAGGGAAAGACAGAAAGGAAGAAGGAAGGAAGGGAGAGAGAGAAAGAAGAAAGAAAGGAAGAAAGAAAAGAAGAAAGAAAGAAGGTTTAACAGGTGGTCCTTGATAACTGATTGTGATGGATTTGTGACTGTAAAATCAGATGTGTCACATGACTGACCTGATTTTACAAACATTTTTTTTTCCAGCAGTGATTAAATTAACACCTTGGTCATTAAGTGAGTGGTTATAAGTTGAAGATTACTTGAATGGTTGCTCAGGGATCTGCTCCCTTTGCAGACAAATTTGAAAGCTCAGCAAGAGGTTTGCAGGGGATGGCCGCGCTTTTCAAAAACAGGCGGCCTTTGGAATTTCAGCTTTCATGTCCGTTTCATTCCCTGCGATTGTGTGCGGCATCTTTTGTTAGGGCAGTTGAGGTTCCTTGTTCATGGTTGCACGGGTGTCACTCCCTGGGCAAACCTCAGGCCTGGCACATTTTTCCCTGAATGCTTTGTCTTCCTTGCAGGTGACAACTCTGCCAAACACTCTGGTCGGCAACACAGTGCCCCGTCAGCGCATGCGAAAGAGGGCCAAGGTTTTGTCCTTGGCAAAGAGGTAAGGCTCAAAGAACAATCTTGGGATTTTGGATAAAATGTAGCATCCATAAAGTAGAGACTTTACCATGTTTCCCCCAAAATAAGACTGGGTCTTATATTAATTTTTGTTCCAAAAGACGCATTCTTTTCCAGTTAGGGCTTATTTTCAGGGAAATACAGTTCCAAATGCATCTGTCTGGCTGACAGTCTTAACTGGGGCTTATTTTCAGGGTAGGGCTTATATTATGAGCATCCTGGTCTTCTTGATCAAAATATCTCAATGGTTGCTTGCTTTCCATAAAAGAATACCCCCACTTCTCTCTCCCTGCTGGGAACCTTGACTCTATTCCATCATAACACTAGACTAAACCACAATGAAGTTAACCATGGTTATGTGATGACTCAAGGGACTGAAATGGGAGGGCTATTCGCTTTGCCCCAAATCCTTCCTATAGGTAAACATTGATTCCTATTTCCTTGGCGAGGGGCACTCAACCCAGGGAAGAAGGAATTGGCGCCAGAGATTTGCCTTAAGAAATCCTCATACGAGTCAATAAACAGATCCTCAACTTACAACCACAGAGTCCCAAATGTATGTTGTTGAGTAAGATATGGGTTAAGGGAGTTGGTCCCCTTTTGACGACTTTTCTTGCCGCTGTTGTTAAGTGAATCTGGCTTCCCCGTTGACTTTGCTTGTCGGAAGGTTGCAAAAGGAGATTGTGTGACACCTAGCTGGTTCCTTCCTAGAGGCAACAAAGCGGGTTTCTTTGGTTTTCCTTGCAGGATTCTACGCTTCAAGAAGGAATCTCCCATCCTGCAGCCCAAGGACCCACCTCCTTCCCTGCTGGAGGCTGATTTAACCGAATTTGACGTCAAGAGCTCCCACCTGCCTTCCGAAGTCCTTTACATGCTTAAAAACGTCCGGTAGGTTCGTCGACTCGGCGAGTTTGCCCGACACGGTGGAATCAAAGTCACGGTTCAGCCTCTTGTTTCGGGCTCCGCCTGGTTTTACAAATGTGGCCGCCTCGAAGCTCCGAAAGAAAAATGGCTTCTCAGGCTGACCCATCATCTGTTTCCCCAGGGTCCTCGGTCACTTCGAGAAGCCCCTTTTCCTGGAGCTGTGCAAGCACATGGTTTTCGTGCAGTTGCATGAAGGGGAATATATCTTCCGGCCGGGGCAGCTGGACAACAGCATCTACGTCGTGCAGGACGGGAAGTTGGAAGTCTGCATCCAGGAGAGCGTAAGGACTGTTCTTGGGGGAGATTTAAGAAGAACAGGCGTTGAGAAGGGAAGGTCGGGAGCTCAGGGTTGAAATGGAGGGGCCCCTGGTGCTCTCTGAGCTCAGTTGTTTTCTTGCAGATGCGTTTTTGTCAGAGTGTTTGCAGCCTTTGCTCCTGAGGCAACCCAGGAGCAAAATGCAGGACACAGTGGCTTATATACAAGACAGCTTATATACATACATAGACGTGGTAGGAAAATACTTGGCAGGCAATCGATCTTCTTTACTCTGCACGGAGAACCACAATAGAGACAGAACACAAGGAGAAGAGAAAAACGCCCTCTCATGGCCGCCTATATATAGACAGCTTCTTAAAGAGGCCACAACTCTGTGGGCCCCACCTCAGTCTTAAAGTGGCAATATCCTTGCTGACTCAACCCCATTGCTCATTGCCTCAGCATTTACAGCAGCCTTACAGCCAGGGGTGGGATCCTACCGGTTCGGTCCTGTTCTATAGAACCGGTAACTCAGAAGAGCAGCTGACTCTGAACTGGTTCGCTGGCCTCCCGCCTGCCTGGACACTAGGCTGCCCTTTAGTGGCTGCGTTTTCCTCCTCAGCTGCTTTGCGCGGCACAGCTGAGTGCCGCTCGTCAGCTGCAGAAGGTAAACGCTTGCCGGAGCCAGTAGACTACGTGCACACGAACCAGTTGTTATGCCCGCTGGGTCCCGCCTCTTCTTACAGCAGCTGGCCAGCTGTTAAATATTCATTACCGTGACACTTTTCTTTGTTCAACTTTTCCCCAGGATGGCACAGAGATGGTGGTGAAGGAAGTTTTGCCCGGGGACAGCGTACACAGCCTTCTCAGCATTCTGGACGTCATCACGGTGAGGCCCGCAGCCCATTTGGCTTTCCATGTGGCGCTCCATCCCTCTGCTTTGGTTTGAATAAGTGGGCAGGGCTTCCCGGAAGGGTTGACGGGGAAGGGGTCCAGTCAGAGAGTCTGGCTTAATCGGAGGGTTGATGCAGCCAATTCGGTTCCTAGCTTTTGCCTTGGCAAAAAAATGAGAGCCTGAAAGCTCCCTTCGAGGGCTAGGGATCCTGAGTTCAAGTCTCGCTTCGGTTTCTGGAGGAGAAAAAGACACAAAACATATTGCGGCACCCCAGGTTGTCCTTGACTTACAACGGTTTGTTTAGCAGCCTGTTCAAAGTCACGATGGCATCGGGGAGAAAAAAAAAGGGGGGGATTGGTGACCTTTTTTTTTTCACACTTAACGACCATCGCAGCGTCCCCATGGAGACGTGATTCAAATTCAGGTGCTTGCTGGCAACCGGCTCGCATTTATGACGGTCGCAGCAATCCCCTTCCGCGAACCTTCCTGACGAGCAAAGTCAACAGAAAGCCGGATCCGCTTAACAACTGGGTTGCTAGCAGAACTGCGCTTGGTTCGTTGAACGACGTGGCCAAGGAAGGTCGTAAAACAGCGCTCACTCAACAACTGTCTCGCTTAGCAACAGAAATTTTGGGTTCAATTGAGGGCGTAAGTCAAGGAATACGTTAAAGTGTAACTTTATTCTTCACCGTACACTTCTCTGGGCTGTTCACATACAGCCATTTTTTGCTCTCTCCATCGGGAAATGTTCCCAAAACCCGATTACTCCAGCAACCCAGCGGGTCTGAATTCAAAAGCCTTCCAGAACCTTCAAGAAAAATCCCACCCACCAGAGAGCTCTTTTCTTTCCCTGCCAGGACTTGTGTTCGAGACTTTGCCAGCTCATGTCCAGCCAACGCTTCCTCAATTATCCTTTTTATCTCCTGTAATTAAGAATGGATCAGCCGGTTGGGGATCGAGCAATTAGGCTGCCCAGAAAACAGTGGGGGATCTGTATTATTTCCCCCCCCCCAGGCTGGGAAGAACAAATATATGGTGGAGGGGGGAGCAACTTTTTTGGACTGGGATGTGCCCTGGCAGAAGGAAAGAACAGAAAATAGTCACAACTCAACCATGCAAAATCTGCGGTGGTGGAGCTTAAATGTTCCAATCTAGGGAGCGAACTGCAAGCATAATTTTTATCTTGGCTCAATGTCACCCAGTCTTTCATGCCTAAGGCAGGACTAGAACTCTCTGTTACCTGGTGATTGGCCCCAAAGTCACCCACTTCAATGGCTAAGGCAGGACTTGAACTAACCGTCATCCCCTTTTCTAGCCTGGGGCTTTAACCACTATACCAAGCCAGCTATTGTGTGGTTTGTTCTATTTTGGACACGCCGTGCAAACTATTGTAGCCTGTCCATCATGTTTACAGCTTTGCTTAATGAGGAAAGCCAGCCAATTGTAATAAATTGAATACATTTGATCACATAAGCTGTGATTAGCGCAATACATCAGCCCAGCCATAATACAATAAGGAATCATTTCTCCTGGGCAGGAAAGATGACAGCTCAAGGATAAAGACAATAGCCTTCTCTCTGCAGGATTAAAAAACACTTCTTGGTCACCTTCAACATTCAATTATGGAAAAATCTCTGCCATAAATAACACAGGAAAACTTTCTCCGCAAGCAGTGACAATTGTCTCATGTTTTCCTCTCCCTTTTCCCCCCCTGAGACCCAAAGCTTCAGCCTGTGCTTTTAAAATTTCCCAAATTACCAGCCTGCATTGGGGGATTTTCCCATTAATTCCTTCCGTCCCTGGTCACCTCTCTTCTCCCATTGGCAGAAAACCTATCCATTTTAGCGGGTTGTAGAAATAAATCTTGTCTTTTGGCCGGAAAGCCAGGTGCCTGGAATTTGAGCAGTGGCTGTAAGGCACTCCTTGACCTACAACCGTAATCCAAGACCGACATTTCCATGGTTAAACAAATCCAGTTAGTCACACGCCCTTTAATGACCTTTTCTTGCCACTATTGTTAAATGAATCACTGCAGTTCTAAAGTTAGAAACGCAGTTCTTAATTGAATCCAGCGTCCCCATTGCTTGTAGTTAAGCAAGCCAGTTGTCGAATGAGTAGTACTCCGGTAACATTAGAACCGCGCTTTTGTTGTTGCAACCATTGTCGCTTCTCAGCTTGCCAACGAAGGAGGGAGGGAAGGAAGGTGAGCTCCAGGCATCCGGAAGACGAGCTGTGAGAGCCAAGGACACTTTGGCAGATGTTTGCCAAAGCCAATGGGTTTTTCTCATAACAAACATAAACTTTGTGCGTGGCACAAACTTCAGTCGCCTAGTTACCATCTCTGAAAAACGATGAA